TCATAATAACGACCAATAAATAATAACGGTCATCGATCATTTGGTTCATGAAATATTAAATTTCTATATTCTCATCTTTCCCACATATCTATTAAAATAAATCTAAAGACAAACACAATTATCTAAACACAAACATAATAGGTTTCGAGAGTTTCGAACCATAGAGACGACAAACTGAAATAACATTCTAAAATTATACTCCATCCCTCCACAACATATATTTCCAACCCTCGATGAGATCGCAGTTCAACACGTATACAACTTGATCTCATCGAATAATGATATAATATCATAATTACATTATTAGCATCGCGTTACAAAAAAAAAAAATAAAGTTTCTGATCCGAATGTTCTTCATCGATGAAGGACTCGAGAAGCAAATAGCTCGATAAAATTCTTATACGTAATGAGAAAGAGGTGAAGAATAGGCGAACATTCAGACATAGCGGAGAACGAGACGAGAAGCGAAGGTGATTTGAAAACGCGGTAGCTAGGAGGGAGTATGCATTTTAGTCGCTTCATTTCGAGCTGGTTCTCGCCCCTCGGGATCTGGAACCGTGGCCGAACCGGATGAACCGCGAAATTAATTTTCTTGCAAACTTACTTCGCTCTTCCGAGTTGATACGAATTTCTGGAAACGCAACGGTAACGAGAAAAATGCGAACGAGATCGAGCAATAATGACTCTGGATGCGGATTAACTCGAAGAGAGTGTATATTAATTATTATGTCTTCTTTCCTCGAAATGAATAGGATACACTGGTAGGGGGAGAATATTTTTAACCCTTTCATAATTAATTACAATAGATTCAGAAGCAATTGAGAATTGTACCGTGTAAATTGATTAGCTTTGTTGATAATTGAAAGTATATATGAGTGATGGTCAAATCTTATCACGATAGAAATTATATATCATTCATTAGAAATAGTTAAATACTGTTACATCCTCGAGTTTCAAATATTTTCAAAAAATAAAATATCTTTCTATATATATTTAAATATATTTATAATTATTTAAATCAAAATTTATAAATATACTATATCTGTTCAAAAATTTCAAATAAAAAAATAATTATTTTAAGTTTTAAGTTTTGAATTCCTTGTAATTTCAGATATTATACTATAAATTAATTAATAGAAAAAACAATCCATGATATAATTACATATATATATAAATTTTTACATACATAGAATGGATTAATAACGCGAATAAACTAACATTCAACAAGTATTGAATTCATTAAAATAGTATGGAATAGAGATTTAATTTTAATTCGATACTAGATAGAGTAGAGTTATTTTAATCAGATATTTAAACGTTTCTTGGTAGCGGCTTGCATTGGAATGCATTTTGAAATGAACTAAGGATGACACGGCGCAATATTTGTAACGAAATAGTATATATCGACAAACGGATGGTGTATCGACAAGAAGGATATTTAATCCAACAATTGGGAATATCTACAAATTTCCAAGCCAGCCGAGCAACAGTCCTCGCATGTTTGTACATATATGTACACGAATTTAATTCAACGTCACTCTTTATCACGTGACACCGTCGAAATTGCATGTCAGAAAGATTTACTGGATTCGAAGAATCGGACACACTATACGATACGTTTTATTTCTTTGTTTTGGAATGTTGTTTTGCACGAGGGGAGAATATAAGGACAGAAATTGGAAACACGTGGCAACAATTTTAAATATTGATATCATGATTTTCGTACGCCATTTTATTGTTTCATAACTCTTAACACGCTATTATTATTTAAGGAGAAATTCGACTATCACAAAACACTTCAATTATAATACTCTTATATGATATTAAAGAAATAAAAATAAAAAAGAATAGAATAAAAATACAGTGAATTATTAAATACTGAATAAGCGCAAAAAAAAAATTATAAAACAGTAAAAAATACAACAAAATCTAAATTTAATTGTATAATAAACGTAGCTCGTACTGAACACATGCCAAAAGAAAACCTTCTATTTTTACACATTCCATTTTTTTCACAAGAATAACACGATCATATATGTCATTGTAGGATAGGAAATTCTCATATACACTGCATTGAAATATATTAAAAAAAAAAAAAAAAAATTAAAGTAAAAATGAAAAGTTTCATGATAAAATTATTCTTTTCATTTTATATGACAAAAATATACAATAGCAAACGTGTTAAAAGTCGTCGCTGAATTCAGAATGAAAAAAAAAAAAATAAAACGATGATTGAAACGACGAAGAAAATCATGGTATTTTCGTTTCTCTATCAAATATAGAAATTGGATCTCGGAAGATGCAGTTCCGTTGCGTTTCATCAGTTGAATAGAGGCAGCTCGTTAGAAACAGGACCTACCGAGTCTATTAATATGTGAGGGAAGCAACCCTACCTAAAAAGTGACTTAGCAACTCCAATGCATACTAAGCAACCCTTATGTTACTAGCTGCTGCTAGCTTCGTGTGCACTCCCTGACACACCTCCTCTTCTAACTTTCAGTTCCTACCACCACTATCGGCTCCTTCCTAAACCCATCTTTATGGGCTAGCAACAGCATATCCAACCCAGTTCTATATATACATATATATTTCAACACACACGTAATGTACTCGCACCTACACATGTAATTCTTTGGAAGCTATCGAAACACATTCATGCGTGCTTGACTCTACACAGAGTGCTCGATCGATAACAGAAATTGGCAACTTGTAATTAGAGAATATCTTGTCTCAGAAAAAGTCAAAAGTGAATATAAAACTTACAAAGATAATATTTGTTTCATACTGATGTGAGATTGTAAATGTCTGCATTTTTCATTCTTAATTGTATTTATACATACAAATGGTCCTCAAGTATCCTCAATTTCCTCATATCGTTATACATATATTTTCTCCTGAAATAAGTTGTAGAATGAAAATATATATGTTATAAATCGAATTACCTATTTTTTTTTTATAAATGTACAATTTTCTATAAAATGTACATCTAAAATAGCTGGTTACTTATGTGATTAAGTAATACTTTTCAATCAATTTTTAATATGTACAACACAATTGCAAGATATAATAAATAAATTTTTTATTTTATACATACGATGTATACTCACTTTTGACTTTCACTAGATTATATTCAATATCTTCATATTTTAACATTTTCAATTTATCAAATTGAATTCTGTATATAAGCTCGAGCACAGATATTGTTTCATTATAATACACCGATTCATTGGATTCCACTTCCTCCTTCTTTCATTCTTCCATTCTCTTCCCCATTCAAACATTCTTTCTCGCTATATGTATGAATATGCGGTGAGATGACACATGCATTTATGGAAAACACAATGCAATGGCTTGAAAATGGATGGAAATCAAGAGCAGAATTCTAATTTATCAACTCCATCAAATATGATCGATCATCATTCATAATGATATAGCATAAAAATGAAAATGAACAAATCTTGCCGTCTCTTTCCATTCATTCGAAGCCACTGGAAAAAATTCTTCAAAATCGGAGTCTAAGCGTTATTAAGATTGAATTTGGCACATGCTAAAGAATGCAGGATGGCATTGAAGAAAGCGAGGCAATGATCACTGACTACAGGGGAGAAAATCTAATTTTAAATTAGAGAAGGAAAGTCGTGACGGTTTACCTGGTGCATAGGGTCGTAGCCCATCGAGCCATCGTTGTACGGTTGCGAGCCATAATCGCTACCGTTTATGCCCATCCCGTATCCGGCCATG